GCTGAGAAAGTGCTGAGCTACTCTAAAATCTGAGATTTTTCTCCTGTATTGTTCAGATTTGGAACACAAAATCCTGTGAGTGCATCCACACTTTTAAATGTCTGTCGAGGACACTGGATGTCCCCGTCAACAACGTGATCCCTCTCCCCCAGAATCCAGAGCACTTTGTGGTTTGTAACCACTCCAACGCTGTGGTCGTCATGAGCATGCGTGGCCAGGTGAGAGCAACTTACTCTTCTCATAGAACCTCATTTAAATCTAAAGAACGAGACTTTGCTATGCTATTATTAATGCAATTACAGCTGCATTACACAGTGTTATTATTACTGTTTCATCTACTAATTAATTTTCAATTAGTCATCAGAAAATTGTAAAAAAAAAATTGTATGACTAAAGGTGATGACTTATCAATAGTTGTTTGACTTACAGTACAAAAATGCTGCTCCTCTGTGGAGATGTCATAAACCTACATTTTCTCTAATGGCCAGTGTGGGGTGACTTATTCGGTCTCAGTAAACACTTTCCTAATCCGTTTATGATCTTCGTTAGCAGTTTTAAGTTTGCTTCAAATACATCTCATTTTGTAATTTGTGGTACTTTTAGCTGTAAAATATACTATAAAACAGCAGATGATGGCTTACACACTCAATTGAAGACTTCAGAAAAGTAGTTTGCAAAAAGTGAATAACATGGCTAGTGGACAAATCCACTAGTCTATGACAGGAAATGCAAGAAAAACTCTCTAGTCTTTGTCAAAATGTAACAAAACCTGCATATTAGCTCCTTAAAACGAATGAGCAAATCTGAATTGAAGGTAAAGTTGAAGGTGATTGTTTTGTTCCCCCAAAAACAATCACCCCCAAATGGTTCTTTGAACTGAAAAGACAATGCATTTTCAAAGTTACTTACAATGTATTGTTTATCTCAACCTTTTATTGGTGTTTTAGATTCACACTTGAATATATTTGTGGAAGCTTAACATCTCTCTCTCTCTCATCTCCTCAGACTGTGAAGACCTTCAGTTCAGACAGAAAAAGAGCAGACTTTGTGTGTTGCACCCTGTCACCCCGCGGGGAGTGGATTTACTGTGTGGGGGAGGACTTAGTGCTCTACTGCTTCAGCTATACAACAGGAAGGCTGGAGAAAACGCTGACTGTAAGTGCTGCTGCTAATATTCACTTATTATTAAAACTGTTTTGCATCTATTAAAATTTGGGCTGCTAGCTTCCATGTTAGGTTACAAAAAAGTAGATTTGGCAGCTTGAAACTTTTATTTACTTACTGTCCAAAACATGCTGTGTAGAAAATGAGCTTTACTGCATACTGTCAGCTAGGGCTGGGCCATATCATACCTTTCACGGTAATACCGGTATATTGTTGGGCAACGATAAGAAAATGAAATATCGCCATAGCATATGGGTAAAACGCGCATGCGCAGTGCCTTTGTTTTCATACGCACATGGCGGAAAAAGCATGGCGGCGACGGAGAATGAGAAGGTCGAAATTGGAACATTGAATGAAAAGGATGAATCAGAATTGGTTTGTAAAAATGCTGCAACTTCAGTGGTGTGGAACTGGTTTAGTTTTCGGCCGTCAGATACACAACAAAGCACTATTTTTGGTAGAGCATGCTAGCAGACCGTCGTTATTACCGTGTTTTTTGGAAAATACGGCACACTTAAAATCAATCCTTTGATTTTTCTGAAAATCGTCAGCGCCCCTTATGATCCCGTGTGCCTTATGTATGAATTCTGGTTGTGTTTACTGACCTCGAAACGATTTTATGTCATACACGACGCTCGAAAATCTGTCAAATGTTTCAGTACCACTTTGCTAAGCTACGAACCCGCACCGCTTGATGGATTGTCGGAGCATTACGGCTATCGTAGGCAGGAGCCTCGCGGGGTGATACGTACTGTGCTTCAACATAATATTACCGTATTGTGTGTGTATAACCTCTTTTTAAGTTTTGTGGATATTATACATGGTTATGCTGAGGACATGCCGGCCAATTTCCACTGGAAATGCCTTTTGGTTAAACTGTCAGCAAGGATTTTGCATTTGCACTGTTACGTTTTTATATAACTTTAATGCACATAAAAAACAGCTGCTTGTTTAAGTGAAAATACATTGATGGTGGCTCAGTTATATCATTATCGCAAATTTTCAAATGTATATCGTGATAAATATTTTTGGTCATATCGCCCTGCTCTACTGTCAGCTGTTGGTCTCAACCAGTTATCACTGTTATTTCAGTGTTTCTACTGTGACCTCCTAAAACAGTTTATCACCGTAAATTAAAGCTGCATATCTTTGCCAATGCATCTTGTTGCAAGTTGTTAACAAATATTTTTTGCCTTTCTTGAGGTGTTACAAGCATTCAGCTCTGTTGCATATTACTTACTCTTCTTACTGCACATTTAGAGAAATGGATTTTCACAACTAGTCTAAGGTGAATGCTGGCCAGATGTAATAAATCACCATGCTGGCTAAACTTTAAAGGTGTTCCTAGGCAATCCACTAGAGGAAAAAACCCATTACACATCCATATCAATCACAGTCTAAACACACAATCTTACCTTAATACACAAAATCTCTGTTAGTTTCCAACCAGGCCTGGCACACTGATGTCTAGAAATCACCTAGTAATGTATAAAATTGCCCATCTGTAGCATCAAAGTGACATTATATTACTGTAAATGATTTCCACGATCTTCGCAGCATTTTTTTTTAAGTGTTGTTATTGTTTAGCTATGTCACTGCTGCTGAGTAACAATAACAGGGTAAGGGGTGGGTGGGAGCAACTGATGGGTGATGGAGAATGTGTACTGATCTGTCTTCCCTGCACTCACAGGTTCACGAGAAAGACGTAATTGGCATCACTCACCACCCACATGAGAATCTGATTGCCACGTACAGTGAAGACGGTCTGCTGAGGCTATGGAAGCCTTAAAGTGTCACCTGCATTATATTGTGGAGGACCTACACAGCTGTTGACATGGTGTATTAAAATCTATTTGTGCCATGAAAATGCTTTGAAAAAACAATCAATGAATATGAAAAACCACCTTTAAATTATAAATAAATTTACCAATCAAAGTTTTACCCCCCACTTTAAAGGATTCTGTATGTTGGTTTCTTTTTTTTTTTAAATTCCTTGTGGAAAATTTAAGGTAAGAATGCCAATATTTATGTTTTCTTTAAGTCAGCAAATTCTCAACAAAAAAATAATCTAAAGTAGCTGCACTTTAAACATGTTTTTTCCTTCCATATTTTGATTTTGAGTAATTTATTTGTAATTCATTAGCATTTGCAACGCTGTTTAGGTCCTCCATACCTTACACCTTCTTCCTCATGAATCCAACTTCACCAGTTTGAATCCCCATTTTCATCTCTTCTGTCTTTATTAGACATGAAAATGCATGATGGTGAACTGTTGTGAAAATAGTTATAATAGAGATCGCCTCTTGTTTGGGCATAAACAAACAATATCAGGTATATGATTGATTTGCTTTGGTTTATAATAATGTTTTTTTATTCTTAATTTTTAGATTTTATCCAAATAACGATTCTGATGTCATGATTTATTTGTTCTCTGCGTTCCCTGCATGCTACCTCAGTGCACTACAGTAATTTTTGTAGTCCTTTAAAATATGCATGATGACTGATAACCCTGTACAGAGCTCCAGTGACACATTCTGTATCCTGTGCGTAAACAACAAATGTATTTTACACATTTATTGTCCTGTGTCTGATGTTCCTGTGCATAGATAAGGTACATGTACCTGCAACAGACTTCCTCTAGCGGTAACTGTTCGTACTACCTGGTACTGTCGTCATTTATCACTGCGAGATATTGTTTAGCAACTGAATTATTTATTTTTGGTATATTCATTATGCTGTACATAACATCTCCAACCACATGACAAATGATAATAAAATTAAAAACCTGGTGTTTGTGTTATTTCATAATAATACGCTTTAGTGCTAGATTTGTTCCCAACGTGGCAATTTATCCAAGTACTGTATGTGCAACATTTTTTTTTTTTTTAAAAGGACAGTCAATTTGAATCTTTTGCTGCTCGGCACTAACAAGTTTCCAGATGTGGAAGAATTAATAAAACTGGAAGTAACAGGATTGGTTATCGAACCCAACGGGTTTGTAAGTTGTATTACAACGTATGAACTATTATATCTTCCTAAGCCACTTTTTGTTGCCATGTTCTTGTAGTCAAAATTTTTGTGAAACGGATGAAAAAAATATTTTCAAAGTCCAAAAGAATATCATCCATTTTTTTCCCCTGTTTAATTATATATATAATAAAAAGAGAGTACATTCTCTTTCAGTTCTAATGTTTTGCATATCAAAACATAATAACAATCATTCTAACATTAACTACAAATGATGAACAACATAATGGTACAGGACCTTGCAGTCAATGAGTCAACCATAAACTCCTCTGTATATCTAGATTCAAATGTGAGGCAGCTCAAACTTGCCTCAGATTACTTCATGCAACAGGACAATGATCCTAAACACCGCAGCAAATCTACAACAGAAGGGATAAAAACCTGATTGAGACTGCTGTGCATAAACAAATGACTCAAAGCTGCAACATGTGGTTGTACAAACTACTGAATCATGGCGTATACCTCATCTTTCACACACCATTTTTGTGTTTTGTCTTAGTTTTTGTTAAATATTTTGGAATTTTAAGGTTGTATTTACCTAATTTCAGAACCTGTTAAGGACCAGGAGATTAAAAAAAAAAAAAACAAAAAACCCTCATATGTAAAATCTTCAAATGGGGAGAAAAAAAAAAGGGCATGCTATCGCAACTGTACCCGATATGTGGTCACTGTAGATTAAAACACAGCAAATATTCAATTTTAGAAGAAACAAACAAACCTATTTTTATATTAATTCCCATCCAACTGAATAATGACTAGAGTGTGAGATGTACAGAGAAAGAGGGAAAAAAAATAGTTTGAGCCAGTGGTTTAGATTGTAACAGGGTGTCTGAATTTTAATATCTGGGTATAAAAATCCAGTTTAATGAAAAACAGCAGAGACAGATTTTCTAAAAGATATCAAGCACTGTTACACAGAAACTTAGAAAGACCATTAAATCACATTTATTTAGAAAACATGAACACAAACAAGTAGACCACTGGTCCAAACATGCATCAAGTTAATTTAAAACCTTGGCAACATTTACTTGAATTACTCTTTGCATTGAAATCCCCTTACATTATGAGCGCTCAAATTCACATCTGCATTCAAGAACTACTTACATTATTTAAGGAGACCCTTGCTTCTGTGAGCATGACCGTTTTACAACATCCAAGGCAAACACCATTGAGATAAAAGAAAGAAAAATAAAACTGCATTATCAAGTAACTTCAAGTTAAGTTATGAAAAGGCTTTCAAACAGGCAGACACTTTAATGAGGTATAAAGTTTGCAGGTTTATCTATTTTAAAAGCCCACCCATAAACTCCCATTACTCATTTTGGCTTTTACAAGGTTCACAAGGAATATGGAAAAATATTAATATCTGGTTTCATTTGTCATTTAAACTCTAGATTTTGGAGTCTGATCTCATTGTCTTCCAATGATTTTAAACTCACAACAAAACTAAACAGGCAGACATTAGAAACCTTTTCGAGTACAATGTTGCCACAACCATGCCATTGTTTCCAAAGAAAAATCATACCTATTCAAAATAGCCCTGCTTATGCTTTGTTTTATAAAATGAAAACGGGTCCAGTGATAGGGAAAAAATGTCAGGGAACACACATGGGTAAGAAAGAGAAGGACAAAAAGGAAGTTATTCTCTTCTTTCCACAGAAAGAAATGTCTCTAAAATGTCTCAGCCATAGGCAAAGCACACAAAATGTTCTGTTACTGTCACAATGATTGAATGTAGGAGTCTTCATGCACTCCCAGCTCCTGAGAAACTTGAGACTTAATCCACAGACAGCTTTTTCTGACCAATCAGAGCAGGCTGGACCTTTCAGGATGAGCATTTCAGGAAGAGGATGAACTGTGGCATAGCGGCAATATGGAGCGGGGCACGGAAGAATACGTTGTGTTTAGTTTTTTTAATATTAGTATGTAAACCTATTCTAATTTAAAAAAAAAAAAAAGAATTATGAAATGTAAATGAGTATAACAAGAATCATAAATAGCCTTTCAAAATATAAGGTGATTGCACATACCTTTGCACACTCTCACACTTACACTATACTAGACGTGCACGGCATCGTCACAGACAACTGACTGCAGCTCAGGAAAAAACTAAACAAAACGCTAAACTCAAACATTAGTTGGAAATTAAGTGGCTTGAACTTCCCGTTTCCCTGTTTTAATCATGACTACACTGATTTCAAACCTGTCACATGTTTTTTCATAAAAAGTCTGAAAAAATAGCCCTTGAAAGGGTACAACAGCTTTAATGTTTTAAATCAAGTTTCCAAGCACCTCCACCACCATCTGGTCCTCGTGGGCCCCTTTCAGACAAACACGCCTGAGCTGTATAAATCAGCACTCTGATCGCTTTTCCATTAACTCTTTCCCCCATAAAGACGACATCTGATGACCTCACATGTTCCCTTAACGAGTTTTGACATCTCACTGTATATCAATTAAGATGTGGTTTTACAACCATTAAAATAGTTTCCTGTTTTTCTGAAGTGTCGCTGTGATTCTGTACTGTAACCAGAAATGTGACCACTCTTCACAAAAGAACTCCAAGGGTTACTCCTAGTAGGCTTTAAAGGGTAAAGAGTTAAAGTTACAGCAGCAAACGCACTAGGTCAGAAAATATGTGTATTTGGCTGACTGCATGCAGTCACAACAGAGAGACACCCACACTATTACAAGCGTGCACGTCTCTGTTGTAGCTCTGTGGGCCGATCAGCTCACTATAGAACGCAAAACACCAGCTCAGTTTCTAAACTGCTCAGAGAGAAAAATTTCTTCTGTGATAAAGTTTTCTAGCCTCTGTGAAAAGGGTTGGGGATGATGTCCTTGCTCTTAATGACAATTGTCATTAGACTTTGCTAGAGTCAATACTGACAATGCACGTCCCGGTAAATACAAAGACTTTTACAAATAAAGCTGATATTGTGCACATACCGTGGATCTCTGTCACAGTCACAGGGATGTCTGAATGAAGGCATGAGGAACACTGACTGAAAGACAGAATGCTGTTACTTTAAGAGACTGACAGATTCAGCGCCGTTACAAGTTTCATGTCTGAAAGAGCTACAGACACCAAAAATGGATGAGACTACAAAAAGTGGTTTTCAACGCCTGATTTAGATTTCTCTCTCTCTCTATATATATAGGTTATTTACCTATTATTGTCATCAGTTTTAGTGTAACTGCACAAAAAGCAGGCCGTCATGCTTTTCCCTGAAGCCTGTTATACCAGCCCTCATCTTTAATCACAGTGTGAATGACAGAAGAAGAAGGAAAAAGAAAAAAAAAGAAGAAAAAAAAAAAAAAAGGGGGTCCTAGATGAAAAGGAATTCCACTGAACTGCATCTAAGTTCAAATCCTGCAATTTTAACATTCACAGGGCATTGGGAAACAGTTTTATGAACCAACTTCAAACAAACTAAAGAGACGAATTGATTTTTAAGGAAAATAAAGTTAAAAGTGCACAGGTAACCAAAAAAAAAAAAAGGTGCTTTGCATTGGAGATGAGGATCTAAGCTTCTGGAATAGACAAAGGCCAGCTGTTGCTTAAGACGTCTGGCACTGAACACCACCAGTGGTGGCGTAGTCGTCTTCGTCCATGTAGTAGCACTCATTTCTGTATCTTCTCCTGTTCTCAAAGTCACAGTCCTCCAGGTCAGCATAGATGTAGAGGTCATCGTCCATACTGTCTGGCTGCTCTGCATCCATCTTTTCTGGGAGATAGCGCTCCAGCTCCTTCAGCTTATGTTCGGGGAGGAAATTAGCTTTTGGGAACACCACCTAATGAAACATCCGTAAATAGATTCAGTTGCAGCTCCACAGTAGACCATACACGCATATTATAATGCAGAAAAATGCTAACACTTTATGTTATTTTAATGGTGTCAATGTTTGCAAATATGGGCCTCATCAGCTGCTTTGCTTACTTATGCGTAATTTAGTCATAAAAATATAAAAGACAAAGGCATTAAAAAAAACAAAACAAAAAACCCCAATAAATGCCAAAGAGATTCTTACCGAGAAGTGAATAATGAGACGCCCCTTCTCAAACGGCCTGCGATACGTGGGCATCCCTTCATTCAGGACACACTTAGTGTCGCCAGGCCTGATCAACTCCCCTGTAATTTAAAAAACAAATATATACAACATCAAAATAAATTAACTGAGTAAGAATGAGTTTGTAGTTTATTTTAACTACTGTACGGTAGAGGTCCAGTGGTCTTGACAAGGTGGCCTAGTTTCACTGTGAAGTACAAGCCACACCAAATGTGGCTTGCTTGGCTGACAATAACATTAGGCCCATTAAGTCAATCTAAACAAAAAAAAATAAAATCATCACTGTTTATTCATATTTTTCAAAAAAAAATGATTTTAACTGTTCTGGAAAAGGAGGACATCACAATGACACAGCACATCTAAAACACGGTTCACATCTCACAGAGAAATCTTTCAAACATCAATCACCTGGAATTATTTTAAAAAGCGCTATGACAGTTTCTAAATTCAATATGTGTTATTCATTGGATGCATTTTTCAATAATACATTCATATCCTCTAAAGCAGAACAATAAAAAAAACAAAAAACAAAAATGGACCTGAGCCTGCTGATGCTACCTCATTATACATAAGAATATTTTCATACACCAATCTGGTTGCCAATCAAAGTAACTCCCAAAAAGCATTTCCCACTTTGATTTACCTGGATGTGATGTGATGAGGAGAGTTCTGTTGTCCAGTGTCTGAATGGGGTTCTTGAAACCACATAAAGCCTCAACCAGCTGCAACTCCATGGACATGATGAGGTCCTCTCCTTTCCTAGTTAGACAAAAATGAAGACCAAAAAAAACAAAAAAACAAACAAAAAGAAAAGCAAAAAGAAAGTCAAACGTCAGCCTACAGCATGGACATGGAAATTAATTTTATTTTTATTGCACAAAAGGATGAGAGGGTGATGGTAAAGCACCAACCTTGGTTTATCATCCTAGTTAACATTCAAAACAACAAAAAGACACTTAAGAGCAGCTTCTTTTTACCTGGTGAATTGTGCATGGTCTCGCTGATCTAAAACAATGATGATGTCGCCTGGCTCGAGTCCCGGCTCCTGGTCTCCCTCTCCATGTAAAACAATTTTCTGGCCATCTCTCATTCCTGTGTAAATGTCACCGGGTAACATATGTACAGGTTTACCGTTTTCCTTGTTTGCACACAAACAGACGCAAAAAAAAGTTTTACATTTCTCTCACCTTTGTCAATGTGGACCTCCAAGATCTTCTTCTGTCGTAGGATCTTCCGGCCTCCGCATGCTTTGCAGCGGTCCTTTTGGCTGATTCTTTTTCCTTGTCCTTGGCAGCTGTGGCACACTGTGGACATCTGCTGTACCATACCTGGAAGTAACTGGTGTACGCGGACTTGCATCCCTGTGCCATGACAAGACATGCACACCTGTACCGCTCCTTTACGACCTCCACGACCTGCCAAATGAATAATGCAGGAGAAACAGTTTGGTTAGATAACTTGCACCAGACTGATGTGACGCACATCTCACTAACATCTAAGCAACTTTTTAAGAGAAACATACCTTCACATCTGTCACAAATGGTATTCTTTGGGACAGCAAGTTTTCTTGTTGCTCCATTATAAAGCTCTTCTAGCGTCACTGTAATCTGATGAACAATATTCTTCCCTGGGGGGCAACAATATTGCACAGTTAGTTATATCACAGATTTCAGCAGTAACACTTAAGCCTGAGAGGTCTCCCAGAGAAACCACTAAGACAAGCTTTCAATAATTCAATCATTTTGCTGTACATTTGAAATGCAGTAATAAGTAGAAAAAAAAAAAACCCAAACTCAAACATTCAAACTCTCTACGTTCGAAGAGTGAGACATTTTTTCAGAAAGCATTTCTCACACTGTCTCTTTGTAATTCTAAAGCAAATTCTAAAGCCATCTAGCGCAAAACAGAGCATAAATCAGGCATGCTTTAGGGGCACGTGTACCCGTGAGTAACAAGTCTCTTACGGTATGAGCATGAACTTTCAAGCCTTTAAAGACTGTTCTACTTTATTTCAGCTAAAACTATGAGTACAGAGATAATCTTTGTTTGCTTGGCATTCTCTGGCTCTGCCAATTACACAAGTCTGCAAAAAAACAAAAAAGATTTTTCAGCTGCATGTGATATTTTTGGTAAATGTTATTGTTTTTAGAGTGCTGAATCCAAAAACGATCTCCATTTCCCTCCATCACGTACAGATTTTTTGCAAAACATGAGGAGTTTACATAAAAAAAGCACAACAGTGATAAAAAAACAAACAAACAATTAACAATGTTTTATTACAATTAACCAAACATATTTTTTTAAGATTCCCTACCTTTCGCCATGAAGAAAATAACCCTCCACTTACCTCACTCAATTCCTCGTATTTTCTATTTGTATTTCTCTTGAGTCTCACTCTTAGTAATATTAAATGAATGTAAGAAATCATTATTAGATATGCTTTTTTGACTCAAGTATAGGATACCAGATTTCAGTTTAAAAAGGGAAATTGTATGCTTAATTACACTAAAAAACACGAGTTTTGCAAGAAAACATGACGAGATTGAATTTTAAAAATATTTTCCCCGGTTTCAGTGAGTAAAAATCTATAAGAAACAGTCAAAGAATCCCGTGCAGTTTTTAGGTTGCAGACCTGTGTTATCTGTATCATGACTGACCTCTAGTGTAAAATAGTGTACTTGTAAAAAAAAAAAAAAAAAAAAAACTCTACATGACGATTAGGGGTGGGGGTGTATTAAAGATCATACAGCACCAAGCCACAGTATGATTTAACAGATTCAAACTCTTTGTGTCTGAGTCTTTAGAACCAGTTTTCTTTCATATCGCATTGCATCAGAGAACATATTTAACACAGGCAAACTAAATGGCTTTACATATTATTTCACAGCTATATCCTCTCAACATTTGCCTACCTTTTCGCTCTCTATGCATCCGGCTGCCTCCACCAAAAAACAAGTCAAAGATATCCATGGGTGATGCAAAGCCCCCACCACCTCCACCGCCAGTTCCTCCTTCTTTTATAGCCTTTTCACCTCCCCGGTCATAAATCTCTCTCTTCTTCGGATCTGACAAAATCTCATAGGCCTGTGAGATCTGCTTGAACTTGAAGAAAAGAAAAAAGAGAAGACAGACCGTGTCAGAAGACGTGTGCCTCACCTGTTGATGTTAATGACAGTAAGAAAATACTACACACCTTCTCTCCTTCTGTGGGATTTTTATCAGGGTGATATTTCAAAGCCAGTTTGCGATAGGCCTTTTTCAGCTCATCTGGAGTTGCGCTGGGTGGCACACCCAAAGTGTCGTAAAAACCTGTTTCTTTGACCATGTTTGCCTTGAGAAACTGAAATAAATAAATCAAATATTCATAAATAAAATAAAGTTCATAAATGTTCAGCTTCTTGTGAATCTGAGCTCAGATCTTGTGACCATAGAGGACATTGCATGTGATCTGCATGGACACTGTCACCCTAAACTATCAACCTGGAAATACTTTGTGATTAGATGGGAGGTGATGACTGAAACATAAAGCTTGTGGGCCACAATCAGCCCAGCAAAGACTTCAACCTAGCCCTCCGGAGAGCTAGTTAATTTTGGACTTCTAATTGTATTTTCATACGTTCATGGCCATTTATAGTACGTCAGAGTAGTAAGTAACAAACTAAATGACAAAAACGTTCCTGTTTTTTCACCATCTAATACAGTTTCTGTTAACAAAATAATTGCCAGACACTCAATGACTTACCTTTTCTGTTAATTTGACACATTTCTTTAAGCCTAAAGAGACCTGCTGACAGATTCATTTCACTACAGCAGCATTTTTATTATTTTACTTTCACCAATCTGGCCCACTCAAGCTCAAACTGGAGTTCACAATGTGAATCGAGTCTGGCATCCCTACTCTAAAGGGTGAAGTAGATCCAAACCAGCAACTTATTCCTCATTATCATAACAGAGTCGCTAAATCCCTTCACGGGGGGTGGGTGGGGATTCAAAGAATTAGCTACCAGTTACCAGCACCACACAAATACAGCCTCAATCCAGCCCTTTTAAAAACAGATAACTAGCAAGTCCTACACAAGACCTTTTCCGTTGTAAAAAGGAGCAAAGACCAGTAGTGCCTTCGCTTTCTGTCCGGCGTTGAGTAATTTGTTTACTCAACGCTGCCATATTTGTTTTAGAAGCGATAGTAAAACTTGGCGACTCAACTATTTGTAATCTTTTATTAGTGGGAATAAAAGATCACAGTATATTTGAACAAGATGTTTGTATCCAGTTGGTTTCAGAGGTGTTTATGAATCAATAAAAACAACTCAATACTGTTGTCGAACGCTCCTTTTGGTACTTTTCAGACATGTCCAGTTACTTAGGTTTTACATAATCCAGTGGTTAAATGTATACTGTTACATGAGGGGCACAAACTGGGGCTGCTCGGGCCCTACGAGGCTATTTGAGCTACTTAGCCCGGCTAAGGAAAAAAAAAAGATTAGCTTTGTTCTTTTCTCAACTTAAACACCGACCAAAAAATACACATGACACTTGTGATAAACACCGTGTGAACAGATAATTACTGTTTTCCAACCTTATATGAAGACAATGATGTCGCCTCACAACCTCCGTTCACAGCAACTCTTCTAGAAGGTTCTTCTAACCCGCCTCTATCGTAAATGAAAGTCGCGTCCGGTGACGTTTATTTCCTGCGACGGAGCCCCCAGTCACCCAAACAAGCGTGAACTGTTGGAAACAGAAACCCTGGTTGCGAGGCCGAAGGCAAACGATGATAAAATGCCACTCGGTTGGCTTATTAGCGAGGAGGGGAATCATAAACCCATCCAGCTCCCTCATTTACAGACTGTTGTGTTGGGGCGAGGGCCAGAAACAACCATCAAAGACAAAAAATGCTCTCGGCAGCAAGGTAACAGCATCTCAGTCTGAAACACTAGCAGTGTTAACAATTAGATCAACTATTGAAGTATTTTTTTTTTTATCAAAATATAAAAGAAAGATTAAAAAAAGAGATGTATTGTATGACCGCTAAGGTTATGGCCACGTCAACACAGCCTGAGCTCTCTTAGGCAGGTGTTCTTGTAATCTGTTTAAGCGATCTTCAAGAAGCCTGGAGAACTCCAGGCTTCTTGAATGACATTCAAATCGCTTCTTTAGATGTTGGCCGCCTTTTGTTTCGTTCTCAATCAAGGTGATCACAGACTGCTTTAACAAGGATGATAGCTGATGCTGAAAAATTTAGCTGTTGCCAATCAGGTGCTTTCCAGATGCAAGGTGAATCAAAATGTGATGGTACTTCTCTGCATTCATAATTCCATCAATTTTGATAAGATCTCAGCAACACTGGCTGAAACGCAGACCGAGCCTCCACTGTGTTTTACATATGCCTGTAGACATTTACTGTTGTGTTTCTCCTGACCTCCTTCTTACATATTAGTAACACATTGAACCAAAATGTTTAAATTTGGATTTGACACGCCATAATACCCGTCGCCCTTGATTTTTCATTCCAGTTCTCAACCTGAACTGAAACCCTTTCTCCCCATTTCCCTTCTTTCTTTCACGACTGTCACCTCTCCAGTGAGACCATTTCTGATGAGGCTTTGATTAATAGTTGATGGATCAACTGAAGGGCCGAATGCATTTCTGTAATATTGAGGTTAAGCACTTATTAAGCGTCTTACTGAGCACACAAAGCCAAAACCATACATTAAACTATACACTACAAACAGTGTATCTGCCTCACATCCATGGGTATATTAGAATCACCACTAACATGTATATCTTTGGACTGTGGGAGGAAGCTGGAGGACCCATAGGAAGCCCAAACCCATTTACAACATTTTTAATTGACTTTCTAAACTATTATAAATTTCCCAAAGATTTTATCATTAATATGTGGAAAGTGTGACTTTTGCAAATGTTATCCTTTTCCAACCAGTGGAGCTGAAAGCAGAATGCAACAAAGGTTATGTCAAAGTTAAACAGGTAAGATACTTACACATTCATAATTTGAATATCTATAAAGAGGTTAAACTTTTTCCCATCTTCCACTTTTTACTATATAATCTTACAATCTGTCTTTTATATCCCCATTTTTATTCCAAAGCTGGGCTTAAACCCCACCTCTGTAGACTCCGTGGTGGTTGGTAAAGACAGTGAGGTCAAAATAAAGCCTGGACAGCGCCTTCATATTGTCAATCAGCTTTACCCCTACACTGTACAGTTCAAAGAGGATCCCACTGGCAGCCAAAGTGGAACAAAAAGGCAGCGAGAGTCCACTTCAGAGGACCGAGAGAGCCAGAGGGACGCTCAGAGTATGAAAGCAGACAAACAAACAGAAAGGATCTCAGTGTCAGTCAGTCACGCTGATTCCCCAAAAACAAATGTAAGAAAAAAAATGTTTCGATTGTTTTCATGTTTTGAGTTTGAAGGAATACATTATCCAGAAGAAACATGTCCCCTAATATCGGTTGCAGGAAAATGCTGGACACTGGAGTCAAGGCCTTAAGACATCAATGCAAGACCCCAAGATGCAGGTAGCCGTTCTATAAAAGAGACTCACGATGTGATGTTGACTGGAGAACTGGATTTTGTCTCTAATATCCAATTTGTAACTTTTTTAAACTAGGTGTACAAGGATGATAAAGTGGTCGTTATTAAAGATAAATACCCCAAAGCTCGCCACCACTGGCTTGTGCTCCCGTGGCAGTCAATTCCCAGCCTGAAGGCTTTGCGCACTGAGCACTGTGATCTGGTGAAACACATGCAGAAAGTTGCTGACCAAATGATTCAACAGCGCCCAGATTGTAGTTCGGTGCAGTTCCGCACGGGATACCACGCCATCCCAAGCATGAGGTAAAAATTTAGACTATATGAAATGATTTTGTGAACTTGGGAGAGTAACTAAACTAAACTAAAAATATGGAGGTAATATGCTTAGACTTAGTCCTTTTACTACAATTTGACTGATGAGGCTTTAGTGGATGTGTTTATTGAGACTGCTATAACAAACAATTAAAAACAACAAAAAACAGTTTTAAATTAGAATAAGAATAGTGATAATAATGATAATAATTGTTGGTTTTATAGAGAATTTTTCAGAATCTACCTTAAAAAGTGCTTCAGAGATCAGCAAAATAAAACAAAGACTGAATGAAATAAAGAAGTACAGGGCAGAATAAACTAAAAATTAAGACCAATAAATTGTAGAGAGAAATTCAGGAAATGAAAGACAGTTCGAAGTCAATTAAAAATCAAAGTAAGCATTTTTGTTTGTTTGTTTGTTTACCAGGTAGACACTCCAGTTAATGTGGTACTCAAGGTTAAAGAAGCTCTGAAGTTAATGACTTTTAAGAGGTTAGGGTTAAGGATTTTCATTCTGACTCAAAAGCTTGTGAAATCAATCACGTGGTTGTTAAAAGCTAAAAAACAAAAGCGTCAACAGAATACATTTGGAAGCAATTTTGAAAGGGAATCCTAACTTTCTGGGAATAAATGTTAATTTAAAAAAAACTGTGCAGACTTCTCTATGCTTAAAATAAGTACATTTCATGTTTACGCTTAGTTTAAATGAACCTTAATTGCTCATCATTTCCGCATTGAACCTTTACTTTTATTTGTCTGTTTTTTATGTTTTCATTTACAAAGGCTCTGATTTTTCAAATTTGCGTTTTTAATGTTTCATCCTGTTCTTCTGATCTGGCTTTAATTTTTCATATGAACATGTAAAACATCTTTAAAACCATTAAAGAGAAATGTGATGCAGATGTATTATTGTATTTGAAAAATGAATCTAATAAATTGTGGTGTGGTCCCAACGTCTGACACATAAACAACAATCATTACCTTAAAATAACTACTACATACTGTGTGAGTGTCTAGATCAGGGGTCCCCAATCCCAGTCCACGAGGGCCGGTGTCCCTGCAGGTTTTAGATGTGTCCTTGATCCATCACAGCTGATTTAAATGGATAAATTACCTCCTCAACATGTCTTGAAGTTCTCCAGAGGCCTGGTAATGAGCTAATCATGTGATTCAGGTGTGTTGACCCAGGGTGAGACCTAAAACCTGCAGGGACACCGGCCCTCGTGGACTGAGATTGGGGACCCCAGGTCTAGATTCTTCCCACATTATTTTGGAATAAAAGTGCCATGAAACTTGAAGCTAGAAGCTGTTTTGGACATCTGCTGCCATCTTGTGGCTAAGATCTGAAATGTAAACGCTTCAGACTTTACTTTCTAATCTTAAACAGGTTTTTAATGTGGCTTTGAAATTTTCTCTCTTTCAGCCATGTTCACCTCCACGTGATCAGCCAAGACTTTGACTCACCTTGTTTAAAGAACAAAAAGCATTGGAACTCATTTACAACAGATTACTTCATTGAGTCTAAGGGTAAGAACAGTTCTAGTTTATTTTTAACACCTGCTTAGAAATAATTTGGCTTTAGAGCAAATCATTTATACTGTGGACTCAAAATACTTTGTGTTTTTCTTCCTGCAGATGTCATTCAGATGCTTGAAACTGATGGAAAAGTCACTGTGAAAGAAGGCACCAGTGAGTTGTTGAAGCTACCTCTCCGCTGCCACGTGTGTCGCAAAGAGCTTCCCACTATACCGGCACTGAAGGAACACCTGAAGTCTCATTTCTGAGATAACAATGTGACTGTAACTTATGCTCATGCTCTGGGTTTTCATTGATCACATATCTCATGTTAACTTTTTTTTATAGTATAGATTCATTCTTTTGTACAATGTTAAGTTCCTGTAGCTTCCATAATTATTGGCCTGATTACAAATTCCAAAGGTCTTCAATGTTTGTTGCTTTTTCAGCTTTTTAGGGTTTTCCAGTTTAATAGGAAATTGAGTGTCAAGCTACAAAACGTTCAAGGTAAATGCCATCAGTGTAATGCAAGGTCATGGATTTCATTTAGTGTTAATACCATTTCAAACATGTTAAAATATTTTGCAATAAATATTTTCTAAGAACTAAATACTGCCTATATCTTTTCAATTAAAGTTGCCTCTTTTAAGTCCTGCAGTGCATCAAGTTTAGACTGATTTTTAATGCAGATTTACAGAAAACAAAGGAAGCTGTCGATGTATTGTACTGGGAATGCATTAACTCGCTTTCAGAGCTGGCACAGCTGCCACAGAAATCAACATTTGTTTCAAAAAGTATAAAAGAAACCTTTCGAACTTACAGGTTTTTATATAAGGAAAAATAGCTTGCTGGAAAAAAACTGTACTGCTTTGATGTGTTGAAATAGTAGCAGACAGTCAAATAACACATTGGTACTTGGGAGAACTTTTTGTACTTTTTCTTTGCTGCTATTACAGTACTCCTTTAGCAAATAACAGTTAAAGCTTGCTCAGCCACCTACTGCTAATACCTACGTCTCAGTATTTTGATTCTCATTCTAATTATGTGATTGAGAAATCTGTTTAAACCATTACCAGAGCACAGCCTCTTTACACCCACACACTCGCAGTATCTCTAGTCACACCAATCATTTGCATATCCTCCTTCACTACATTCAAGAACCTCTTCTGTGGCCTTCCTTCGTGTTCTCCTGCCTTGAAGCTCCATATTCAACATGCTTTGTACAATACATCTCCCTCCTCTGCACATGTCCAAACCATCTGATCCTTGATTCTCTGGACTGTTCGACCTGAGCTGTC